GAAAAGAATCTTTGGGGCATGCCTTGTTTAAATCCTTATAGTCTACACACATTCTAAGTTTGTTCCCTTTCTAAGGGACTACGACTACATTGGCTAACCATTCGGGATATTTCACCTCCCGAATGGACCCTATTTGAGAAGTTTCGTTACCTCATCCTTTATGAATACATGCTTTACCTCGGACTGGGTCCTTCTCGTTTGCTTCACCGGTTTGAACCTAGGGTCAAGGCTTAGCCGATGCGTTGTTATCTCTGGTGGAATCCCTGTCATGTCTAAATGGGACCAAGCAAAACAATCTATATTATCAATAAGAAATTGAATAAGCTTTTTCCTAAGTTCGCGGGTTAATCCCGTTCCCAGGTATATCTTTCGCTCGGGCAGGTACTCGATCAATATAACCTGTTCCAGCTCTTCGACCGTTGATTTGGTGGCGTCAGAATCTTCGGGAACAATAAAAGTTCGAGGAGTTAGAATATCCTCTTCTTCTTCTTCTTCTATCCCCTGCTTCCTGATTTGGTCGAGGCTGATGAATGTGATTGCTATTCGGCTTACTGTTTACCTTTGATGCTCTACCTTTCCGAGGTTGATAGCGTTGATATCGGTGTTACCTCATTGACCATAAACATTTCCTTTGCAGCATGTTGCTCCCCATATATTGTTTTTACACCGTCCGTTGTCGGGAATTTCATCATTTGGTGGAGAGTCGAGGGGACTTCCTTCATGTTGTGGATCCAAGGCCTCCCGAGTAGGGCATTATACCTCATGTCGCCCTCGATCACGTGGAATTTGGCATCTTGAATAGTTCCAGCCACGTTCACTGGTAAAATAATCTCTCCATTAGTTGTTTCACTGGCCATGTTGAAGTCATTTCAGACCCGAGTTGCGTGACTTTTTGATCTTGTAGGCTGAGTTGCTCCACGACCCTCGATCGGATGATATTCGCCGAGCTACCTGGATCCACTAAAACATGCTTAACTTGAACTTTATTTAATAAGATGGAATTACCAGAGCGTCATTGTGTGGCTGAGAAATGCCTTCTGCTTCTTCGTCGTTGAATGATAAGGAGCCTTCGGGTACATAATCTCGGGTTTGTTTTTCCCTAGTGATTGATACCTTAATGCGTTTGAATATGGGCCCTTGTGGAATGTCGACCCCACCGACGATCATATGAATGACATGCTGAGGTTCCTCCTGTTCATTTTTTCTGTTGGCGTCCCTTTATCTGAAATGGTTCTTGGCTCGATCGCTGAGAAACTCTCGAAGGTGGCCCTCATTGAATAGATGGGCTACCTCCTCCCTCAATTGCCTCCAATCTTCGGTCTTGTGACCATGCGTGCCATGATACTTGCACATCAAATTTGGGTTTCTATGGGAAGGATCGGTCTGTATGGGTCTGGGCCACCTAGTATCTTGATCCTTCTGATTTCCGATACAATGCCTGACGCGTCGATGCTAAAGTTATATTCCGATAATCGAGGTGCCTCTGTTGGATCGGCATGCTTATCAAAATCAATTTTGCGCATAAGTCCCCGAGAATTCCGTCCTCGATCACTTCTTCGATGATTCCAGGCGGAATTTCGTCCCGAAACATTATTCCTTCGATCTGCACTGTATGGTTGATATCGTTCTCTATTCGACCTTGGCTCCATGTCGACGTCCCTCGGGGTTTTAACTGCCAACCTGTTTGGATGTACTGAACCGGAAGGGACTCCTAACTGGTCGTCCTCGACCCTGATCTTCGATTGATATCGATTGTGCACATCTGCCCAAGTCACAGCTGGATAGTCTATCAAATTTTGCTTCAACTGACGTGACGCTATCGAACTCTGTTCGTTCAACCCTTGAGTGAAAGCTTGAACGGCCCAATCATCCGTGACCGGTGGCAACTCCATGCGTTCTATTTGAAATCGGGATACGAACTCCCTCAGCATTTCGTTATCCCTTTGTCTTATCTTGAAAAGGTCCAATTTTCTTGTTGCGACCTTTATGCCCCCGACATGTGCCTTTACGAAAGAATCTGCTAACATGGCAAATGAGTCGATGGAATTTGGTGACAGGTTGTGATACCAAATCATTGCTCCCTTAGAAAGGGTTTCTCCGAACTTTGTCAACAGCACACATCCGATTTCATCATCTTCTAAGTCATTTTCCTTTATCCCGCATGTGTACGAAGTGATGTGTTCATTAGGAACGGTGGTCCCATTGTACTTAGGTATGTCTGGCATATGGAACTTCTTAGGAATGGGATGCGGAGCCGCACTTTGAGGAAAAGGCTTCTGCACGAACTTTTTCGAATCCAAACCCTTTAGGATCGGGGGTGCCCCCGGTATCTGATCAACTAGGGAGTTGTATGTTTCCACTTTTTTATCATTATCTTCGATTTTCTTCTCTCCTGAGTCAATTCTTTTGGTGAGCTCCTCGAGCATTTTCTTTATTGTAGGATCAGTCCCTGATTCACTACCATTTAACCTTTCCAGCATTGACTCGGTACGGTGAGTGATTTCTGGCTCGACCCCACTTGGAGTCCTATGTTGAATTTGCAACTGAGCAATAGCGGCATGCTGAGCCTGTAGCATCTCGAATATCACCTGGAGGCTAACTCCTCCGTCTCCTCTTCCCTATGTACCTTGACCACCGGATCAGCCTTCCCTGCATACACTCCCTTCGGGGTCCGCGCCTAGGTCCGCATTTAGAGCAACGTGCGAACTGATATCGACTGGATCGACAAACGGTGCTCCCCTGAGATTAGCCGGTGGCACCCCGGCTCCTGGAGCAATTACATTATCATTTTCCCCGTGAAATCCGAGACCATCATCACCATGTACGGGTGTGTTTTATGAGTTTGACATGTTTTAACCTGAGAGCAAAAATACTTGACAAGGAACAAGTGTGAAATAACATGTGTTATCAGAATCAGTACTGAAACAATCACTATTATCCTTAACCCCACGGTGGGCGCCAAACTGTTTATCCTAAAATTCGAGTAACAATTAAACTTTTATTGTGGTTTTAAGGATAGTGATTTAATCCTATACCAATTAATAAACAAGGAATTAAATAGATAAATTAGAGAATAAAATAAATAAAATCATTATGCAAGCGAAATCTCGACCTCGACCTATGGTAGTCTCGAAGTATGATAATAGGAATAAATGATAAAGCAACTCTGATGAACAGTAAATGGAGTAGCAAGAAAGTAATGAACGTGTATTTTCTTATCAGTCAACAATGATGGTTACAAATGGATGAGATCCCCCTTTATATAATAGGGGAGTCCTAAATAAGGTACACTTCTAATTATAGTAGGAAATCATATTTGACAACTGATTAACCGTCGAGGACCAATCCATTCCGAAATTCACGCCATGATCTTCAGTCCGTTGCGGGTATCTCGCTCTTTCAGTTACTGAATTATACCAGCATCATCTCGAAGTATGCTCTTTTCTGATCTTGGTAAGTGATATCGACCTCGATCTTGGAAAGGAACTTCGACCCCGAGCTCGACGTCCTGGCCTTCCGACGTGGTACCACTTTTTCCATCAAAGGACGAAACCGGGTAGCCCTGATTTCCGCCGTATACAATTTGTACATATTTAATGAATTTTAAACATCAGATACACTGTTAAAGCAAAAGCTACTAAGTTCAACCGAACTCGTAGCTTGACTTGTGCCTGCGCCCCTGCTCGGACCCTGCATGAACGTAGAATACTCGGGTAAAAGTTTAGCCCTTTTGACACAAAGGATGTTCCATGAGTATTAATTAAGGAACTTGATCCTTTCTTGTTTTTAGATCTTTGATTTTTCGTAATTCTGCTATGTCACTGTTTTGCAAACCATGAACATCATATATAATATATGGTTCCATAGCTATAATTCATTGAGAAGGGAAGCTCTTAAAATAGAGATAATTTACTCCACTTAATTTAAGTTTTGTCATGAATGCTACTTACCTTTGTCACTTGATTTGTCAACTTTTTCAAATTATGGAAATTTGGCAGAGAGAAATGCCCATATCTAGAAAGCAAGTTTCGTGCCGATCTAGAGCCTTCAAATAGTACTAGAGGTGCTTATGTTCCCTCGCGGGCCACTTTTTAGCCTTATTTCTAAAAAATTATTATCCTGAAGTTTCACTTGTAGAATTTGAAACTCTAAAATAGCAGCTATATTTTCAATTACTGGGGGCAAAAGAGTGACTATAAAAATTTTACTTTCCAAAAGGACCTCTTGTTTGAAAGGCCTAGGGGTGTCAAACGGGCGGGTTGGACAAATTTTAGACGAATCAAAATGGGTTGAGTCAATAGTTGGGCGCACCATTTTATTTAAGTTAAGATGGGTTGGGTCAAAATAAACTAAAATTTGGGTCATAACCCCACCGCCAACTCTTATCAAGCTTTATTTAATATGTGTTCTTTTCTTATGAATTGTATAATTACTAAATAAGACTTTTTTTCCTTTTGTTATAGTCATTAACATTTCAAATTAAAAAAAATTATTTCTAAGATATTTTGACAAAGTTACTCATGTATCAATTTGGGCTAAAAATTAACCCAACTTTAAATGGATTGAGATGGGTTGGGTCAAGATAGGTTGAGTTTAATAAATGGGCATGTCAGTAACTAACCCAACCATGGACGGGCTAGACGGGTCATTTGGACTTGGACCAAATTTGACAGCCCTAGAAAGGCCTATGGCTACTGCCACCGCTGAAGTTGTTTAGATTAATTAATTTTCTCTTCTACCTAATAATTCATGTAAAATATTGGATATGGAGTTCTAACATGTAGTTTCGATTTTGCTTATATTATTTTCTTTATGTTGGATAAATATTGCTACTAAATAAAGAATTGTGTCCAGATAAAATTATAACATTTAGGACATTGTGTGAAAGGAATATAAATTGGAGTAGTTGCAGAAAAGTTGAAGAATCATACCCGAAGAAAACTAACTAAACTATTGTAGCATTGATTATTCCACTTTTAGAAGCAAAATACAGCCTCTCTACCTTCGTAATGTAGGGATAACGCTACATACACATTATCCTTTTCTGACCTCATTTATGAGATTACACTGAAAAACATCAAACAAATACGGGACGGGGAGGAGGAGGGGGAGGAGGCGGTGGAGATGATGGTGTTGCGGAATAGGGGTTGTGGTTCCTCCCAATAGTCTCGTAGAGTTCGGACAACATAACTTTTATCGTCCTCGTATGTTGCTCTAATTAGTCCGTATACAGTTTAAGGTGCCGATAATTCATCTTCAAAAATCATTATATCTCTATTTGCCGCCTCAAGCGAGCACTTTATGGCTTTAAACAAGCACCCAACCTATACAAAGGGCTATATAGTTGTCCACTATAGGAGCTTTCTTCTATCAATCCCTTATTTGGTATGTCATGAAATCATGAAGCACATAGCGAGAGATTAGTGCATCGGGCTACCCTTATATAGGCAATTATCAAAAGATTTAAACAATCATTGAGTAAGCACCCATAATATAAACTTCTTCTCCCTCTGCTTCTGGGACTATTATCTGCAAGCACACGTGAGTTCTAAATCTTAGGTCCGCCACGTACATATTAGAATCGAATAGATCCTCACCTCTTGAATTAGCAAATCCGGTGCTGGTGAACTGGTGAGGTGGTGGATGGACAAAAGGAGCGGGGCGAGAAGCAGGTCGAGTAGATGTGATCTTTCCATATTTGGAGATGATATGTACAGTACAAAAATCAGGAACCCCTTTTAATACGTCTCCTGGAATGTCTTTGGCTTTGAATCTGCAGTGCAGAAAGGCTATAGAAATTAGACTATTTGAAGAGGTAAAAGTTTACTTGCATAGAATGTTTTATACCAAATCATATTAAATTACTATGGTCAAGTGATTTAATGAGGTAAAAGTACATATTAATTAACTATGATGAAGTGAGAAAAATATACGAGCAAACACATATAATGCATCAATAGATTTGATGTAAACATAAAATATGAGTAAATTTTTACCAATGCGAGTAAGATGTTTTATTCAAATCTAACTCATGAAATGAAAAATCAATAGAGCTTGAAAGGCATGCACACATTTAAAAAATACTTTTAAGCGAAGTTTGTAGCATAATTATGCACTAATATCTACATATTCCTATGGTTAGGTTAGAACGATGAGAATTATTAATAATAGTTTAATATATATATATATATATATATATATATATATATATATATATATATATATATATATATATATATCATAACATGTTTGTTACATAATTTTATCAGATTATTAATTAATTCTTGTTAATGACGGAGTCATACTTGAGAAAACCGTCACTTCTTGAAGCACCAAGAATCAATGCCTCTACTCCAGTTCTATTCACATATTCAACAATTGCTTTGACTACATCCTTGTCCTCTAACACCACAACATGACTCTCTACCTGTTTTATCGGAGAATTAGAAGAACTACCAATATTAGAGACGTGAAAGCTAAAGGAAAAAACTAGTAAGAGTATACAAAAAATGCTCATTATTCTAATTCGTCCATGTTTATATTCAAGATATTTTGGCACCGCAAAGGGGTGTGGATGTCTGGTGAGATATAACGGATCCGTTCAGTTTTTACTAGAAGTCTTGAGTTCGAGCCTCGAGGATGGAGAAACCTATGTTAGAAGATGTCAGTACCACCAAGGGATTTTCACGGTATAGATATCCTCTACAAGTTGAAGAGAATTCTCTTCATAAACACTAGCCGTCATTTTTTTATTGGTAAATAAAAAAATTTATTACCAAAATGGGTGATGAATTACAAAGAATTTGGCGACGGAGTGTTGGACAGTACCCCCAACACTTCAGTCAGGATCATGATCAATATCAACTATATGCTAAAACTACCAAGGCAAACTACTTACTGATTAAGTAGGATAAAAATCAAAACTTGCCAACCAACTAGCTACTTTGGATTTCTTACCACCTCTAAAATACACCTCTTGGATTATCTGCTTGGTCATTAAATCCACATGTTGTTGCTTGTTTTGAAATACTCTCATGTTCCTTTCTCTCCAAATAGAGTAGACTGAAGCTGCAAAACACATTCTGTACACATCTGCTCTAGCACCCGTTCCACTAGCAAACCTAATTGACCATTGTAGCTCATCATCCCAATTCCTAGGCCTCCTGTTAATACTTTGCCATTTGAGAAGTTTTTGCCAGACTTGAGCAGCCAATTCACATGCGAAGAACAAATAAGAGTGACTTTCATTCTCCTGGCCAAACAAAGGGCATATTTTATCGCTAGTCATACCCCATTTGCTTAGTCTATCCCTTGTATATAGCTTGCCATGAACTGCTAGCCTTAACACAAAGATCCATTTGGGCAGTCCAAGGTTATTACATACCTTTTCCCATGCCGCCTTTGAAAATTCACCTCTTAGCCTCTGGTACAATTGCTTTGAAGAGAACATATCCATGTTGTGTATATTAGCTAGTTCATATCATGCTTCTTTGTAGTACTTTGATGCCTTCATAATCTTCTGGATGATCCATGAAGTCTGTTTTGGAATGTCCTCTGAGAATTTCCTATTAGCCCCATAATAACAGTGTATCCATTTAACCCATAGTTTATCTTTCTTTTGGCATAAGTTCCAAAGCAATTTGCTAATAGCCGTTTTGTTCCAAGTTGTGATGTCTAAAATGTTTAAGCCCCAAGCACTTGTACTTTGACATACTCTGTCCCAGGCCAATAATGCTTTCTTCGTGAGTTCAGCACCACCAATCCACAAAAAACTTTACATGTAGCTTCTATGATATGCACAACTTTCTTAGGGAACACAAAGATTTGAGCCAGAAGACTTGTATAGAGAATAAGACAGATTTGATGAGTTGTGCTCTACTAGCGTATGACAGGAACTTTATAGTCCAAGATTTTATTCTTTGCAGAATCTTATCTAGCAGAGGCTTACATTGTACACATGAAACTTTTTTTGGAGCTAAGAGGAACCCCTAAATATTTGAAGGGGAGTTCTCCTTTAGTGAACCCAAGCATCTACAAAATTTCTTGTTACACATCAGTAGTCATGCCTCCAAAGTAGACTGAGCTTTTGGTAGGGTTAGCTATGAGTCCACAAATAGCTAAGAAGTGCTGAAAATGTTTAATCAAGTATATTACTGATGCAACATCACCTATACATAAAAGAAGTAAATCATTTACAAATCCCAATTGGATAATATTCAACTTGACACACTTGGGATAAAAATTGAAATTAGGATTTTTCCCCAATTGCTTTAACAATCTGCTCAAGTACTCCACCACTAAAACAAATAGGAAAGGGGATATAGGATCCCTTTGCCCCAGACCCTTTTTTTACATCAAAAGGTTTAGAAGGCTTCCCATTTATAATGATAGAGAATGATAGGAATGTCATTATCCATCCCACAGATGCACTAGGGATGTTCAGACCAAATAACACTTGCTCAGTAAATGCCCACTTCACAGCATAATATGTTTTTTGCATGTCAATATTAAGCATACATCTTGGGGAAGTACCCTTCCTCCCATAGCCCCTTACCAGTTCATGGCTCAGTAGTATGACCCTCCCAAGAACAAAGGCAGCTTGGCTACTATCAACTAAGCAATCCATGATATTCTGGATCCTCTTTGTAATAACCTTAGAGATCAGTTTGTATAGTATAGTACAACAATATATGGGCCTAAACTCCTTAATAGTAGAGGGAGATTGTACCTTAGGAATCAAGGTAACAGTGGTGCAGTGAATAGCCTTATACATCCATGTTGTCTGAAAAAACTGGATTGCAACATCTGAAACATCATCTCCAATAAAAGGCCATGCTTTCTTGAAGAAGCAGGCATCAAATCTATCACATCCTGGGGATTTCAGATCAGATATATCTTTCAAGTCTAGGTAGACTTTTTCTCTTGTGACTGGAGCTATAAGGGACAGTTGTTGTTCTCTATTCAGGATGGGGCCAGCAGCTAAAACACTAGGTGTAATTACATCTAGTTGTGTAGCACAAATGCCTAGCAATCCCTTGTAAAATGTGATGATCTCTACTTCAATTGCTCTATCAGTGTGTACCATATCTCCACTAGTAGTGATCAGCCCGTTAATGTGATTATGGGCAATCCTATTCTTGAGGCAGACATGAAAAAAAGCTGAGTTGGTGTCTCCTAGCCTCGACTAATAAACTCTAGATTGTTGTCTCAGAATAATTTCCTCTACTAGGATCCATTTCTCTAAGTTAAGTTTAAGCTCTTTCTCTGTAGCATATAAAGTGGGATCAGTGTAGCAGGTTCGTAGCTACTCTTGAATATCACATAGATCTTGCCTGATATTTTGCATCTTCTGCTCGATTTTACAGAACCTATGTTCGTTTAAAGCTTTCATCCTTTCCTTCATTAGTTTGAGCTTGTGCCAGACTTGTTCCATATACTCCCTTTTACAGTACAATTCCACCAATAAAGATAATATTAAGAAATTTTCTATGAGCGGTCAAGTGGTTCAAGAACCTAAAGAGTCTTGCCACCTTTCTTGGGTTCCTACTGAATGTAATGCAAAGCATAGAATGGTCAGAAGGATTGACCAGGTCTCTATCAATCCTGTTGTGAATGTGTGAATTAGTCCACGTGTAGAATCTTCCCATTGTTTTCATAATTGTTAGACCAATTGACCCCAAGAACTCCTCAAAGTCTTTCACCGCTATATATTGTATTGCACTTCTTCCCATTCTGTTATCAAGTTGGAGTACTGCACTGAAATCTTCCATAATGAGCCACGAGCTCTGAATATTGTAGTCTATTCATGTCAGATCCTGCCAAAGGTGTTTCCTACAAGCAATTGTGTGAAGGCGATATATTGCAGTGAATTCAAACTCAATAGATCAATCTGCACTTCTAATAGCACAGTGAATAAACTAAGAGCCTGTACAAAGCACTGTAACATCAACCAGCACATGATCCCATACTAGCCAGATCCTTCCTCGCCCATTAATATCATAATTATCATGCCAACTCCAGGTAGGAAAGGGTTTCTTTATAGTCCTTGAGGCATGTTTTTTAATGAATCTATGTTCTGTAATAGCTAAAACTACTATTTTCTCTTTATTTACCATCTTCTTCATCTCCTTGTGCTTAAAAAGCTTATTGAATCCATCTATGTAGCAATAATCATTAGTGATTGATTTGGGGTTAGGAGGTTTTCCTCATTGGCTTGAAGTACATCTTGTGTGAGGCTCCTCGCATTTCCTATTAGTCTGAGGCCATAAAGAACGCTCACAAGTCACTTAAGCATCATCTTGCCTTCCAAAAGAGGTTAATGACTGGAAAAACTTAGATGATCATGATATTAATTGTAGGATGTGTATTGGATATTGTTTAGGGTCTAAGGAGATCCCTAGAACTAACCCAAGTTGGGAGCTATGCAATGGGCTAAAGTTTCAAATAAATTCGCACAAGTTCCGACTTCAAACGCATGTAACTACCAAAATATAAGGATTTAAGTTTTGATATACCTATCAAATTAAAGCCCTTTGAGTCTAGTTTCCAACACCTCAAACTGTTTGTCATTTGGATCTTCCTACCGAAAGTTATGGCCATATTACCGGATCTATCCCATATGCGCGCCCAGATGCGCGACAGCGCATGTAGGAGCCCTATAAATAGCCCCAAGGTCGGGAAGAGAGAGTAGCTAAGTCATTTATTCAAGTCTAGGGCTTTCTCTCTATCACCCATCCGGCCAAGGCTTCCAATACACACCTAAGGTGAGTTTTCTAGTATGTTTTTATGATGATTTAACTTCTCAATCACTAGTTACAACAAGGTTTTGATTGGATTTCGTAGGATTTTTTTCATAATCTCAAGAACACCCCAAAAGTTGTCTTTCAAAATTTGGTCTACAAGAGGTAATCTTTCACCCTTAAACCTACATGCATGGATTGTTAGTGAATATATGAGCAAGAAATAAGTACAAACACTTATGGCATGGTAACCGGAAGCCATAAGTGATTAGCCTAGATCATTGGGTATTGTTGAGATTTTGTAATGAGTTAATTAATAAAATTTGATGGATGTGGGTTCATTGATGATTATAATGGTGCTAAGAAGGTAGTTAGTGGACGAAGGATGTTGTAGTATCTCTTGTTGGTGTGGAAGGTGATTGTTAGGTGAAGAAATTCCATTGAAGGAGGTTGTAGAAACTATGCACATTAGATGTTTGATAAAAGTTTAAATGACTTAAAAGTATAGAAATCTTGCTAATATTGGTGCAATTGTGTTGCATTGTTGTAGATTGAAGTTGTTTAGTGTGGTGGACCATCGTAGTTATATTAAGGGGCGATTTCAAGTATGTTAGCTAAACTTCTCTCTTAGAATCGAATTCCATGATGTTCCCGTAAGTTTCAATTATGTTTGGCCCAAGTTTCTAATTTCCATGTTCCGATTTGTTCCTAATAAATTAGATTATCCCTAGTAAGCGTTGTGTTGAAATATGCATATACTCAAAACGTGTACCAATTGCCCTTACCTTATTATGATCTTTTCGAGAATGTGTTCAAGTATGGTTTATGTATTAAAATGTTATGACTTCAATACGTGTTTCAAATGAAAGTCTATGATGCCTAACTTGGAAAGAGAACCCAAGGGGCTTAAAATCATATAGCTCATATACATATCAAATTTCTATTTCAAAATTCTCTTCTTGTTGATAAACTATGACGATGTTTGAAAGTGAAAGAAGTGAAGGCGAGATATAAAATGCGATCACCGTGCCAATAATGAAAGTTATACTTATAACCAATAGTGCCAATGAAATAAAATGATGTGAAAAATTATAAAATGGTCCATGATTTTGAACGCTCTTAATGTTCTATGGTCACCCATGGCAAGTAAAAGGAAATGATAGCATGAACGTGAAATGTGGCTACTTGCCAAAATGAGAATTATGAGACATTGTATGTTCCAATGGTTTCAATAATAGTATGGATGTTTCTAAAATAATAAATGCAAATGACTTAGATGCTAAGTCCCCAAATATCATGAACTTAGCTAATGACCTTAAGATGATAAGAGAGTATATAACGAGATGAAAGAGAGATGTCATATACTAAATGATGATGAATCTTATGGAGAAAAAAAAAAGAATTTGGCCCATGTGCCATTGAAATCTACTCATCTATCTACCATACATGTGATAATGTAATGAGCTGTGTTTCTCCATGATGAGTATGAACATGAAGTATTCCAATGATCTGAGAACTTACGACCTTAAATATAATGTTAATCATGTCGCTTGAGCTTATAGATTATCATGTACATAATGATGTGTTATGAGCCCTATGGACGGTCTTTGAACGCATATGTGCATTGTGTATGGTATAGATGAACACTATGGACGGTCTATTAAATGCATAGGTGTATAATATTGATGAACACTATGGACGGTCTATAAAACGCATAGGTGTATAATATGGATGAACACTATGGACGGTCTATGAAACGCATAGGTGTATTGTATAGGTGATCTTATGGACGGTCTATGAAACGCATAGGTGTATAATATAATATGTGGATCATATGGACGGTCTATGAAATGCATAGGTGTATGATATAGATGAACCCTATGGACGGTCTATGAAACACATAGGTGTATGATATAAACGAACCCTATGGACGGTCTATGAAACGCATAGGTACATAATATGGATAAATCCTATGGACGATTTGTGAAACGCATAGGTGCATGTTAAGAGAGGGCTATGGACGGTCTGGTGAGACGCATAGGCAGCACGAACAATAAGTTACACTTTCATTGCCTTTTTTTGTACATGTTGTTACATTTACATTATATTTTATATCTCACGCATAGTTCATATGGCTCACTTGATCTCAAAAGAAATGCAGAATGATGTAATTATAATAAGTCTTGACATGTGATTCTATGGTTCGTTTTATAGTTTCTTGATGTACTTCATTTGTCTCTTATTTGAGTCACCATATTTTCATATTTTGTTCTGTCTGCCTTACATACGAGTACTATTCCACATGCACTCATGTTCCAGGGGTGCTGTATCTTTTAATGGATATAGGTGGTTCTACAGCAAGTGGATCGATCAGTGATAGGAGTACATCCTTGTCTCAGCAGACTTAGTGAGCCCCACTTCATATCGGGGTCTTGTATCTTTTGGCTTCATGTGTATAGTGTTTTGAGGTATAGCCGGGGCCTTGTCGCCGGCACTTCCATACTACTCTTATGTTGTACTTAGAGGCTCCATAGATATGTTGTGGGTTGTGTACGATGTTGAGTAATGAACAAGAAGTGTTAGTATTTAGCAAATATGTTTTCCCTCGTAATTATGAACTTGTGATATTTTGGAAATTGTAAGATGAATATCCTTTGATTAATGGAAAGGAATGTGGACACTTGACACTTCTCATGTATATTTCTTGCGACTAATTGTTAAATTGTTCATGGGCAAGGTCGGGTAGAAAGTATCTAGCAGGCTTGCTTGACCGGGTTATCTCGGTTGAGCGCCGGTCGCGCTCTCCGAGGTCGGAGCGTGACATCTTGTGTCCACCATTCCTAGGGCAGCTTGCAACACCTGTTGAAATGAGGTTCCTCTCATGGGGTGTAACCATTCTCAACATCCACAAGGTGTTGACTACTTTCGTCGAATACTTGAGGCCTTGCAATTGCTTTCCCTTTTACATTTGTCCACCCATCTTTTTCATTTTTAGGATCACCCTCCACCTCCTCTAGTGACACCTCAGATATTGGTAGTATGGGGGCATCCTTACTTTGCCAACCTTGCTTAGTCTTCCTTGTCTCAGCTTTGGCTTTCTTAGGTTGGGGCTTTGCTTGATCGGCGTGACAGATATGTCAAAGTTGGCAGCATATTGGGCAGTACTGAGGCCACCATTCATATCTAACCTCTTGGTCATAGGGCTTGCCAAATGAATCCAACACCTTGACAGTTTTAGGTAATGGGATAATAATGCCCATTTCAATAAGCACTCGAGCACACGAAATCCACTCTTTGTGAGAGGTGCATTCGTCAACACATAGAGGGGTGCCTAATACACTAGCTAGCCTGTTTAGAGAGTTAGGACTCCGGCAACTTAGGGGTAAGTTAGAAAATGTTACCAAAGGGGAATTGTTTTGAGTATCTCCTCACTAAAATTAAAATTGGCACCCGAGGGCTTGACAATCACTATTTTACTATTCAGCATATGAGGTCCAGACATCAAGACATCACCACAACTATAGAATCTTATCACAAAATAACCATTGTTATGGTAGTATATGTGTGGTTTATGCTGAAACATCCACTGGCTCCCTTGGAATATGGTGATTGCCGCAATAGTTGGAGAATCTCCAACCACGTAGAGGATCAGTGCATATTTCCAAGTTTTAGATTCCTATTTGACCTCAGCTTTATCAAATTGAACCATTTTAACACCTTTTTTTTTATTATCGGAGCAATAAATTGTAGATTGGTACCATTTGAAGCTAGCTGATTCCCTGTGAATAGATTCATCCATGTCTTCTTCTCTTCCGTAGGTGGTGGTGGCTGCTTTGCAAGCTCAGATTTCTGTGGACTAGCAACCAATTTCGGCGGAGAATTGAATTTCCCAGCGGATGGGGCTATTTGCACCTTAGTCACTCCGCTTTGATTCACCACGTTAGGTTTTCCCCTTGAAGCCTAACATTAGGCGGAGTACGCATCACACCTAGTCGCTCCATTTTCACCTTAGCTTTGAGTATACTCGATGGTTCCAATTGAGCAGTGGCCACATGCAAAGCAGTAGCAGTGACAATCGACATCAGCTGGCCGTCGTGTCCCCTTGGCCAATTGAACCGGAGCCTGTGCCGTGTTCTATACTTTCGTAGCCGGCCTTTCGCCATGCCAGCATGGGTGGCGTACGCTGGTTGCACCACTAACGTGCGCCTATATAGAGAGATGATATCATGTTATCATGCACCGAGAGAAAAAGCTTTTGGTACACGAAAGAAAAAAGTCCCTACCCTCGCCGTCATTGCTCAATAAAAAAAATGTGTATAGTGTATTTATATCATATAAGTAGGATTTTAGGAGGAGGACTAGCTAATCTGTTAATGGGCTAATTAGCATCCCTATAAATCCTATTTGCACGTTTTAACTTTTTAATGATGGAAATTCAGTTAAATTCCCTTCCCTCTACTTTCTTCCCATTGAGTTTCAGATAACAAATGATTATACGATAAAAAATGATGTTTTGGTAGGAATTCTTAGAGTTTAATACTAACATCTTTTCGCGTACAAAATACTCTGAGAGGAAGAAACATTTCCTTTGTTTGCAAATCCAACTCACTAAAATTTCTACATCTAGCTTCATCATAAATCTGGTTTGATCCTGAAAATGTAAAAGTACAGAGTCAATTGTGCAACTATACCATAAAAAGAAATAACAGGATTTAAGATATGAATATAACACGATTTTTAATTTGTAAGTATACAATAGAATGGTTGAGTTTCTGGCAAGCTAGTTTGACAATGTATTATTAAAAAACGTGCAAAAACAAATACATGTACGTGGATAGTGATAGATGAAGTGTTCGGTTCAATCGAACCCTATACTTTTTACGTGCAACATAAATATATAATTGAAAAAATACTAATTTTTTTGTCGTTAATAAATTCTAAACTCATAATTTTAATATTATAAGGATGAATCCATTGAATTATAATTTTAGATCCGCCTACTAAGCGTAGAAAGAAGGAGAGAAGGATTAATTACTTGGGGAAGCAAGAGGAGGTGATTTGACATGGATTAGAAGAGTTGTCTGGCCTCTGACTAAAAGATTATCAACAGTCCATTTCAAAGCAAATTGGCTTCCTCTATCTTTGTCTATTGCCACAGCTATCAATTTATTTTGTGAAGGCATTTTTTCTCCCATAGGTTTCACTTTAGCCTAATTTAATCTGTTGTTGAATTCACTATAAAGAATAAAGAGGAATTTTGGTCATTAAAACATTAGAAAATATGTGGGGAGCTCCACCTTTGGTGGGTATTTAGTTGCTCTACCTTTGCTTCCAGTAATAGTAACCACTAGCTACTTCAACTAATTACCAACAAAAACTCTTTTGGTCAAAGGGAAAAAGCCTACAGCTTGTTTGTATGGTTGTTACCTATCGTATCGTACCGTATTGTTACTTTAAATACAATGTTTGTTTCGATTGTTACTTCAATTTTATTGTATCGTATCGTTAAATCCGTCGTTACGTAACGATGAAATGTGCCACTTAATGTAACGACCGATTTGGTGTGGTCGCATCGTTTCCTTGTGTTTTCTCTCAATCTCACCCTTCATTATTATTAAATAATTTTATTTTATCATTTACCCTACCTTTTTATATACCGTACCATAATTTTTCTTTATAATATTGCAAGTTTATTCATCATATCACAGGTACGTGATACCATGAAACGACGCCAAAATGACACAATCCATCCAAACATTGTATTCATCAAACGATACAGTACAACACAATACAATACGATACAATACATTATGAAACGATACGTAACAACCATCCAAACAAGCTAGCCGAAAATAATTGTAGTCGCTAGCCAGAGAATATAAAATACGTATATCATATGTATATAATATACATATATACAAAAATATACGTTTTATCGGCTATTATTTTTGGGAACGGCTAAAATATGTGCTCTCTCTCATTAAAGCTGACTCTCACAATGAGAGTTAGCATCGTCGTGACTCGCTAGAAAAATAAGATAACATAATGGAATTAACTATATATGATAACTTCTAATTCATAAAGTCATTCAAAGTTAATTAACTATATATGATATGTAATACAATCCCTCCTTTTATCCCAACCACGAAATGACAAATTTGAAGTCACTTGGTGAAGGATTAGGAGTACGAGCAAGAAATATACCAGAATCCTTTATTAACCAAGTGCAATAGATATTATATTTTAGCAACTTAGGTCTACAAAATGACTTTTTTCGTCTATACCATTCAGTATAAACATCAAAATCATTATGTTTTACACCCCATAGAACTTCACAATGAAAACGAGTTGTGCTCCAAACATTTTCATGAAATGAGAAATCAAATTTTTCACCAACTTTAAGTACACGAACTCCAAGATCATCATCTTCAGATTTACAATGAACATAAAGTAAAGGATTATTTTGAGGAAGGCCACTTATAAAAGTTTCTTTAATTGTTGGATTGATATTGATAGCATTTGTAATATGCACAATGTTGATCAAGAATAAAATAAGTAATGAAAGTTGAACTTTGGTGTAAGGGTAATAAGAATAATAAGCCATATTTGAGAGACTTAAGTTTTTTTATGAGCGTGAAAATGAAGTTTGGTTTCCTCACTTTATAAGATATGAGATTTGACATTAATTGAAGTATTGAGTTTAGATTTATCCAGTCATAAAGAAAGAGTAATCTAATGCTACACTAACAAGTTAAGATTACAGTAATCTGATTTTGTTATTAAAGAAGGGTACTTTCTGACTTCTTAGATTACATTAATCTGCTTTTCTTATTAAAGAGTGGCACGTCGGACAAATTTGTTTAATATTTAAATATGCATATGCACCATAATTTTATTTCTTTCGAGATAGAAAGGTGGTCCACCTTCTTCTATTTCTACATCAAGGATACTAATAGAAATTCAACCATTCATTGTGACAAGAAAAAGTTTGATTCAAAGAGAGAAAAGGTAATAATTGGAACAAAAATACCATTCGATTCGATAATCCTCTAAAAAGAAATAAGTAAGGTTCCGTTATTGAGTTACAAATGGAAAATTTATAGAAAGTTACAATTCCCTTCACGTAATAGTGCACCTACACGCCTTTATCGATATAGCTTTTTGACCAAAATGTCGAGAGCTAACTATCAACTTTGGACTATCCGAATATATACTTCGTGAAATTGTTCGTGCACATTTATTGTCAGGCAACATGAGCAAGTTGGTAAGCATTTACACTTATTTCTATTTCTACGGTCATTGAACATAGAAGCCATAGAAGCCCTTTTACCATTCTGTATAAATGAGCTATTTTATTTCTACAGATAGGGTAAAAGGATGCATTGAGTACTTTCTGAATTGGCTTTGTAAGGGATAAAATTGGTTTATAATAAATGGTCGAATGATAGCGTGACACATGAAACCGAAGATAGACAAAAGACAAGTCAAGAAACAATCAGTACCGGACATGGCAACTGTGATTGACATCAAGGAAATCCCGAAGGAAGCATAGTCAATGGGAGCAGATCGAGTATTTGCCATCGGATGACATTCAGTGAGAGAATATTCTCTCGTATTAAATGAGCGACCATTGCAAGAAATATTTGCATTCATGGCGTGCCATTACATATTCATCAATGTCTCATTTATTATCATTTAAGTGCTTAATCATATGATCTTATTTTCCTAGCAGCCTGAACAACCACTGTAAGGCACGAAATTCTTGGCAAAAAAATATGTTGTATTACATTTTCGCTATCAATTAAACAACTCTATTTGTTTTTTTTCATTGCTTTCATTTTTGTCCTCGAAGATATTGCGCTCGGAGCCAGGCTTGTCATCTTCTTCAATCTCAATTGCTAAGTCTTATTTTTATTCTTATTTCTCTATCATTTTTTGATCAAATCAGTGCATTTGTCTATAAACCATGTAATAAATTTAGCCATACCATTTTACGGGTAAACAGTTTGGCGCCCACCATAGAGCTTAGATAGTTGTTTATTGATTTGATCCTTGCTTTTATTACTAACTTGTTTGTTTTTTTTCCTTAGCAAGAAATCAAAAATGGCAGCTAATGATGTCACCATCACGCACATCGTTGAGGGACACGAAGATTTGCCTAAAAATAAAGACTCAATCAGCGACACGTGTAATGAAGGGGACGAAGTAACCCCAATTCGTGAAGGGCAGTAACCCCGACATGTACGGGAGATAACTCCCGATGACGCGGAGGAGGAACATGTCGTGCAAACGGTGAAAATATTAAGAGAGCACCAGAAAGCCATCATGGGCCACCTCTCAAGGCAAGATCAAGTAATGACGGAGTTAAAACAAGCGTTATCAGGCGCTTCCAATAATGCGAGTGGAAGAGGACCAATAATAGCACCCCAAGAGGCGAGGATAGTTTTGACGAAGCTGGAGGGACCGATAGCGGACCAGGAAAAAACAACGGGAATGCTCCCTTCAAAACTGAGCTTATGAGGTTTATGATGGAAATGAAACGGATGGATCAAAATGCGAAGGAGTTTCACGCCCGAATGGATCAGATTCTGGGTACATCACCGATACTAAAAGGCCTAAATTAAAAAAAATACACACAATTACCATTTAAACTGAGCGCAACACCATAGATGATTCTGAAGAGGTTCAAGATGCCAGACATACCAAAATACGATGGGACTTCAGATCCGCATGAACACAACACAACTTATACCATGACTGTGAAAGGAAATGATTTGTTTCAACATGATATCGAATTGGTCTTACTAAAGAAGTTTGGTGAAACCCTCACAGAGAGGGCTCTAACATGGTATTCACTCTTACCCTAACATTCAATTGACTCTTTTGAAATGCTTGCAGATTCATTCATTAAGGCCCATGCTAGCGCCAGAAAAGTCCAAGCCAAGAAGGTGGACATATTCAAAATTGCGCAAGGTGAGTCAGAATTGCTGCGCGAATTCGTGAGCCGGTTCCAGAAAGAAGGATGCTACTACCGGTTGTACCATATGAGTGGGAAGCGGAGGTTTTCACAAAGGTTTTGAATCCACGAAGCTCCTACGCATCCCCACAGTAAAAGGAAAGCCTATTCGAATTCCAAGAAACCACATGGGCAGATGTTCATAACCTTTACGAGTCAAAAATAAGAATCAAAGATGATCATCTCGGGTTCCCCACATAGACTAAAGCACGGGACCAATACATGAACCAAGACAAGTTCAAAAATAACTTCGATGCGAATCGGCGATCTTCTAAAGGTCGTTTCTTGCCGTATGAAAGAACCGAGGGATGCAACAACAAAGGGTTTCGATCATCAGATAGGTTCATGCCCGATAGAATAACCGACCATGGCCGAAACAGCAGGTCAGGTATTGGGGGCCCGGGATTCCGTACCCAGGTTATCGGATTACAACTTCAACATCAGTGTAGTGGAGTTGGTATTGGCGATGAGGAATATAAAGAAGCTCGATTCCCAAAGCCAATCAGATCTTATCCCATCCAGAGGGATCCCAACTTATGGTGCAAATATCATGGGACTCACAACCATATAACTAGGGACTACCGGCATTTACGCGAAGATGCGGCGACACTATTAAATAATGGACATCTCAGGGAGTTTATAAGTCACCGAGCCAAAAACAACTACGGCTGAAGCCGAGACAATGCAGAGTCTTTGAAGGAGATAGAAGATTCCCCCCGGTTGACTATTAACATGATTTTTGAAGGGAATAAAATCAACGGTGTAACCTTTGGCCAAGAAGACAAAGGTATCTGTGACTCACAGTAAGAGACTCCTGGAAGTCACCAAAAATGATATCACCTTCACGGAGGAAGACGCTCACAGACTTCTCCTTCCATATAACGACGCTCTGGTAATCTCTCTTAATGTCTTAGATTTCATAATTGACTATGTTTTGGTTGAACCAGGAAGCTCGTCCAACATTATTCAATGGAGAGTGTTGGAACAAAGTTGACCGAAAGCATCATTCTGTCGACAAAGCTCCTAGCTGGGTTCAACTTGACAAGTGTGACAACCCGAGGAGAGATCATGTTGCCCACGAACGTAGAAGGGGTAACTAATACCACCTTATTCAAAGTGGTAGACTGCGGTGTTGGCTACAACGTGATCCTTGGAAGGCCGTAGAT